TCGACGCCGACCCTCAGCGCACACAACATCTGAGCACTCAATTGAATTTAGCCAATGATGTGTTGGATTTGATAAAAGTTAATGATTTGATCGCATCGTTAGCCGTCGCCAAGAGTGAGAAGAAAGACACCAATAATTCAACGAATAATGCGAACAATAATGCAATGAAAAAGTATTTGTTTTACAAAATTGTTTTTTGAATTAACTTATGATTAATTTTGTCTGTAATGTAAAAGTTTGGAAAAACAAAAGACTACTGTTTTGGAAGCGCTGGTCAAAAAGGGTTTAGCCATTTGTGATCTAATCGACGCCCAAAACACGGTATCTACCAATGGATCCAAAGAGCCGAACGCCACGGCTGTGGCCGACTCGACCGCTTCCGACGCTAAACTCTCACCAACTGTCGACCAGTTTATCTCCGACGCCAACGAAGTCTACGCAGAGATCTGTAAACTGATTGATCCCTACGACCAAAAAGTGGCCAAATTTACTGAACGTCACGCCCTATTGCACCAGCATTTCGGTCGAGCCGTCAAACTGTTTGGTAAACTTCAGGAGAATAAAGCCACTCATGAGGTGGAGCTCAAGACCATTGAGGTATTGGTTATTTGAAAAAGTGGTCAACTATTTGATTGAACTAATGGTTTGTTTACTGAATACATAGGCATTTAAGCAATTAAATTGGACTCATTTGGAGACCTCATACAAGCGATCGATAAATGTTAGGTTCCCTAAAGACTATCGACTTTTTTAATGCTTTTATTAAATATTTGATAATCAATTATAAGTTATTTGATAATATTTTTTATTTATCCGCTATTCTTATACTATGGAAGTAATTGTACGGTTTTAATAAGATATGAAACAAATGTGAGTTAATTTTTAAATTATGAAATTCCGATAAAGTTTTGACATTTAAATTAACTTACGGTAAACGTATACACTGTACATCTATTGAATTTAACTATGTTCTATTTACGGTATTACACTGATTAAATTTTAAATTAAATTGCATTTCATTTGTAAACTCTGCACATTGTTTGTGATTTTATAGTTACTAATTTGATTAATTGGTATTTAATTAAGATTTTATATATTTTTATAAATGTTTTTTATTAAGGAATTTTTTATTTTAATATTTGAATTGATTTTGATTTTCCAATGAAATTCTTAATCACATTGAATCCAAATACTTGAGGCCACCAATGATTACCAGTGCCGTCACACTAATAGTTGTCGCTATAATCATTATATGAGTGGTCGTACCAATTGAATGAGACAACCGACGAGGTCTTCTGGTCCTCCTCTTTGTATGTGTCCTCTGGTCCGACATTTTTTTAAATTTTGCCAAATTCTGTGAATCGGTGCTACCGGTGCGCTGAACGACAAATCCATGGTTTCTGTTATCATTCATAACAGTACTAATGATCTTAGTCTTAGATTACTATTTGATATAATGTTTATCTTATTTGCTTCAAATTTATGTGAAAATCTTTTAATTAGTCGTAAGAATATTTATTTAAACCTCCAAAATAGCGTACAAATCTCAATATAAGTTAATAGTTATAGTTTATGATTATATTTCATTATTACAATTAATTATTTAAAAATTACTGATAAATATTGCGCTAAATATGATTGAATAGTACACTAAATATAATATAATGAATGCCTTTAAGCGACACATTCTATGGAATCGATCTTAAAGTGAGGTTCCGTTGCATTCACTTTAATCACTTCCGTCTCACACCTCGATATCGTCTATCATATCATATAATATTTCAAAAGAGTTTACATTAAGACTCATTCAAATGAAACAAATCAAATAAACGATACATACTTTGCATCCGTGGTCTGTTCTAAAGATCCAGATATTGGTCTCATTTGGAGTGCATTCGTGAAAGTAATTGATCATAACTTTCAGTTTATAGGCGGTCTGTCCATCGGTTGACTTTAGACTATCGACTAAATCGATTTCCCTTTCCTTCGGTTTGTTTGGTCCGAACGCAAACAGAAGCGCTTCTCTCACTTCAGTGTCGTTGCCATCGATGGCCACAAATGTCTTCGGCACCAGTACTTCAGTAGCATTAGTAATATCAGTACTATTTATATCATATACAATATCAGTGGTATTGGTCTCAAGACAATAGTATATTCCGATCAATGAGAATATGATGAGTCTATACATCTTGATCTCAATCTACATATAGAGTACAAGTGATAGATCTGTAAACTATGGATCAGAATATATACTCAAAAGACAATAGTATATTCCGATCAATGAGAATATGATGAGTCTATACATCTTGATCTCAATCTACATATAGAGTACAAGTGATAGATCTGTAAACTATGGATCAGAATATATACTCAAAAAACATTAGATTTTCAGTGAATTGTTTTCACATAAAGTATTAAATTCTGAAATATAAGTAAAGATCATATTTTTGAATGAAGAGACCTTCGCACGTAAGTATGAAAAATATGTTTTCAAACCAATGTTAAGTTTAACTTAATTCTTAGAAACAGATTATTCTTAAACGAGTTTATAATTACAGAACGAGTTTGTGAGATGAGTTCAATTTCACATTCAGATGCCTTTTATATCATTTTTATTGAATCTCATGTTATTTATCATTGAATGTCAGAATAAGTTAATTTAATATTTTTGACACAAACATCTGAAATGAATTTGTGTACAAATTAATTACAGTAAATAAAATACAAATAAAATTCCCACTTAGGAATAATAGTTAGCAAACAAAGTACTCTTTAGAAATAACAAATTAAATTCATTGCATTAAATTAAACACAAATTTCAATGATATCGGTTCATACGAAGTTTTATCATAAAAATGGTATAGTATTGACTCAATACATGATATATGTATATATATATATACTCTATATGAGTACAATTTATTTGAAAAACTTTAATTTCAATACAGTACTTTTGAATTTAGTTAATTGAAATCGCTTTTGACTTATAATTATTTGACATATTTGTAATACCATAAGAATATTCATTTAATACTTTATTCACAAGAATTTCTAAATACCTAAACATACAAATCAAAAACAATTGTCTCTAAGACTTGCGTGGTTTGAAGAAGCCTTTAATAGAGTCTATATTTTGATACATATAGTAAGATATACCAAAACCTGCCACTGCCGTCACCGCCATCAGCCCGTATACCATCAAATCCATGACATCGTAGTTCAAGACCTCATACTCTCTGATCTCAGATTGAGTGCCGCCGACCGGACGGCCGTCCGCGCCAATAGTGACCTCACTTTTTTGGATAACTTTCTCTCTTTTCTTAGTGTAAACTATTTGCGTGTTTTTGGACTCATCTTCTAAACGACTCACATATGGAGGAATCGATAGTACGGGAGGCGTCCTATTAGTGGCCACTTGTTGTTTGGAGTCATCGCTATTGGTTTCATTGGTATTTGCTTTACCCGTATAGGGAACCAATTGTTTGTCTGATTTGTCTGAGTCCGACATTCAATTCAATTAATTCCCATATAATGTCTACTGAAATAGATTTCAAGATATAGTTTACAATATTACGTAAAGTATCGGTTCTTGTCTACCGGTGCTGTGCAAAGTTCTGTCAGATTACCGGTAATTTACTAATCGTTAATCAATTTATCATAAAAGTCACTCATTTATGAATTTCAAATTAACGTCAATAATATAATGGCAATTAAAGCACGCTTAAATATTTACAACTAGATATAACTACATATAACTACATATTTACAACTTTGTATAATAAAGTTAATTCTCAAACAATTGCCATAACTTTTCATAAACTAATTTCTAATAACTATTCAAAACTAGCGCTAAACCCAAAACTTTAAAACAAAACATCTATAATAAAATTGTGATCAAAACTAATAATAATATTAATGCTATTAATGATAATAAGCGTAAAAGTGGTGATCATATGATGGCTCAACCCGTGGATCCAATTAGCGATGAATTAGTGTTAAATAAATTGATTAATGAATTAATCGTTGAGTTGTTTGACACAGAAATGGATAGACTTTTATACGATTAATGCAAACATTATGAATATTTTTATGAAATAGTAAATAGTTTTTAGGCTGAAAATGATAATTCATAGACTCAACACTGATTGCCATTAAAACCAATGCTATTATGAAGTAAAATGTGATAATAATTAAATTGGTTTACAATTTATGCCAAATTTATAAACTTGTGATCAAAACGAAAAACTTAAATATTTTTTGCAAAACTATTTTATGAGTTTAGATGAGTTTACCATAAGTTTAGTCTCCGTTTTGATACGAATTGTAAGTTTTAGTGAAAATATGGTTCATAATAATGGATATATTGGACAACGATATAGAAGTGGACAATAATAACGAAGCGATGGAAGCAATAAATGGTGATAAAAGACACCGAAGAAGTCAGAGATCCGCTGAATACAAGTCTTGGGATCTATACGTCTACACCATTGCTATGTTTGTCAATCACTTCGCTGTTGTATGCATTCATTACCTCGTTATAGTGAACACTAATATCGATATTTATATTTAAGACACTTTAAAAGCTATTTTGCATACCTGTCCATTAAATATGATATCAATATTTTTGTTATAAATTGAAAAATTTTAACTTTTGGTAATTTATCTCAAAAGGGTGTTAACTCTGGCATCGGTGGCCCAGCGCTCGTGGACTTAAGATATATGTTAAACACGACAATAAATTTGATATCAATTAGTCTTGTCATCAATAATATTGGATATCTATCCGGCTCTCTGTGTAAATATTTTTTTTGGCTATAATTATATGATTTGTTCATTTCAATTATGAACTAATTTATGTCTTTTGTATAACAGTCGGACTTCTATACAAATACATTAATAGACAGTTAACTATAGTCGTAATAATGGCAGCCATGGCCGCGTCGATAACGCTGATACCCGACTGTCCCAACCTATGGATTCTGTATTTATTTCAATACGCAATCGGTTTGGGCGCCGGTATCTGGGATACGGCTAACAACGTGTGGCTGATCGAGATGTGGCCCCAGAATAGCTCACCGGTGCTCCAGTTCTCGCAGTTCATGTACGGCTTGGGCTCCGTATTTGGTCCCATAATCGTGAAGCCATACCTCACCGGTGAGACCAATCACACGCTGGCCATCCAATTGAGTGATTTTGGTGATATCACAAGCACTCCATCAGCACCTGTAGATAGACGTGCGCTCCTGAGGACTCCGTACCTCATCAGTGGAATCCTTCAAGGATTCAGTAATTTCTGAGTTTTAGTTAAGTTTTTGTTGCATTTCTAATGATTTGTTGTGTATTTTAGTACCGGTTGTGTTCCTAATCATGTATTTCGTGAAACAATACAAAAGTCGCGATCAAAGACTGAAACGCAAGGACTCGTCTGAAAGTCTGTTAAGCGATCATTTGGACGATAGAGACGACGGTGCCGTCCGTTCTTCTCAAATAGAGGACAACTGCTTGGAGAGCACATACAGCCCGATAACGTCCAAGAAATAGCATGTGTTTTCGTATGAATTAAATTAAATTTCAATTGTTATTTAACTAACATGCTAATTGTGTAAATTTTACTAGTGTTTGTTTGCATAGAGTCTTATTTAATTAAGTTTAAATTTAATATAAACAATAATAAATTAATGAATAAGGATTGATGTATGAAATATTTAATTAAAGTGAGAATTCTAAAAAATTAATTTTATCAATTAATATATTTTGACAACCATATAAATTGCATAAAATTACAAAGAAAATTGTTAAATTATTGGAAGTAATATTAATTAAATAGAAATATAAAAGTTATTTATATTAATTATGAGTAATTAGATAATTACTGAATATAGTTTTATGATAATATATTTTATTAATTCATATTAAAAACCTGATTAAAGTAGATCTAAATTTGATAATATAGACGTCTACTTAATTCTAAATTTAGTTGGACCTAAAAATGTTTGCCCAATAATTACCCTGATTAAGTATTAAGAGGTTTAGCTCAAGAGTTAAAGTCTATGTCGTTTACCGTCGCAGATGTGATAAAATTATCTAAAAACTAATTTATGTTTTAAGAGTAAACATAAAAACGAGTTATCATTAATAAAATACCAGAAAATCCTTTAACGACATAAAGTATCATAATTTATATGAATTTTAAAGATAAGTTCATATCTAAAAACACTTGTATCGACTACTTATGTAATAATTTGTACTAAAAAGATATTATTTGCCCAAAAAAATATGAGTTGATTTATTTTAAAATCAATAGTGACTTTGCAATTGTAAAATTATAGATAAGTTATTTTGATTACTATTTTGTCAGGCTTTATCATTTCTTAAACACAGTTACATCTGAAGCTTACAATCAAGTATACAATAAGAAATTATTTATTCATTAATTTATTTCTCAAATTCTAATTGTATTCAGAAGTTTATAATTTTAAGCAATCTTAAAGTTAATAAATAAAGTGTCAGGATATCAAATAGGAAATACTGGCTTTATTTGATTGGCATTTATATTGTCTAATATTCTGACATATTTTAAGCTACATTACCAAACAGTATAGCTTTTGTTAAAGGTTTTGATAGTCTTTAAATGTCTAGCCTTTGAGATGTCATCCTTTACTTATATAATATTAATAACGGATATAACGTTATGTGGAAAATATAATGATCTGATCGGTGATAAGAAATTTTTGGTAAATACATGGAAACAGTTATAAAATATTGAATAACAACTGATAATATACTAAGAAATAGTTGAATATCTATAAATATCATGACGTCTGCAATGACATGTTTTTATAATTGGACTCTTAATTAAAAAAATCTTTCATTATTTAAAAAATCAGATACAAGTACACAATTTCTGAGCTTAAAGCACTCAATAAGTGGAAAACTATAAATACTAACCACTATTGCATCCCTATTACTAAATCGTCAAACTAACTGTAAATTAACTATTATATTAGCAATTCATTTATTTTATTGCTTTTTATGATCTTGTGGTTTTGGTGACAAACAAGCAAATATTATATAAAGTAAGACTAAATAGTCACAGGTTTAATACATAAATTACTTTTCATCGCAAACTATAAGTCTAAGACTACGAGAATAACATGGATTTCGATCCCGAAGTATACGACAATTCAAATAACGATACATTACTTCCGGCGAAAAAACTAATCAATATTATAAATGACTTCAAACCGGTCAACAGGTTATTAATCACCACTTATTATGAGAAACATTTACCCATAATATGCTAAACATGATTCTTACACTCGTTTTAGCAAATTCTCGACAATTGTGGACATAGGCTGTGGCTCTGGAAATATGACTAAACTATATGCCGAACACATAGACAGCCAACGATTTATTGGCTGCGATATCGACCCAAAAATGATTGATTTCGCCACAAAGGAGAACCGAAAATCAAATATCGATTACGTATTGCAAGACATACAACAAGATTGGGATCGCTTTAGTCCGGAACTCAAGGCACTGAAGCACAGGGTGTCAGTCATTACGTCTAACTTCGCGCTCACTTGGGTTAAGGATATCAGGACTGCCTCTCAAAACATCTCAAATCTGATCGCAAACGACGGCTTTGTTGTCCTCAACATTGTATACGACGGAGATATCTATGATAGGCTCGACCCAAACGACCGGATATTAGCCGAAAAATACCTTAAATATCCGACCGAAGAGGAAATGATAGGCAAATGGATTAATGGATTAAAAAAGTCCGGATTTTCCAAAATCGATATCCATTACTGGGAACCCAAAGCTGTATTCACCGAAAAAGTCTATTATGAAGGTTTGCTCTCTCGATGTAATATACTTACAGAATATTCTTTATTTACATGATTTATGTATTCACAGAATATCTCAATGTTCCCATGAATTGGTATAAAAGTTATGCGAAACTCACAAATGGTTCAAATGTTGAAATGAGTAAACTATTGAAACGATTGCTTATTGAGGATCGATGTAAGAGATTGGACACGAAGTCCAGTAAAGGCGAGGACCTCATTGAAGTGACTAATTATATTTGGCAGATAATCGCATCTAAATCATGAATATTTTAATTATTATTTATTGGAATTATTCTTTATTC